AAGTAGTAGAGGATTTCTCTCCCCTCCCCCAACCCCCATAAGTCATGGCATCTTGTAACGGAACAACTAGCCCAGTGGGAGATGCTGCTCCCAATAGTCACTGTCAATGGAAGGAGATGAAAAACAGACTCAGGGAGAAAAGCTGTTACATGATCAGTAGATATTGCATCTAAGGGAAACAGTATGAGGACTCCACCAGGAAGGAATGGACATCAGAGTCCTGAAATGCCAAAGGTATGAGTTGCTTGGGTCACATGTGTTCCGTATATGTCTGTCTACTATGTGTATGCTGCCTCTTCTCTTCCCATTGATGCTATTTGTAGTTATGTGAGAATGCCAAGGTATAGGCGTGGAGGGGTGGTAGTGGAAGGTGGAGTATGGGGGTGAAGGGGTGGTAGTGGGAGGTGGAGTGTTATTAATATTGTTCTTTGGATGCCATCCAGTAAGTGCCTTTGTTTTGACCAATTTGTATAGCCTATTATTAAAGGCAAGCACAACAAAGGGGGTTCAGATGTTTATCTCAGTTGAACCTTGAACATAGGGGTAATCAGCCCCTTGAGGATAAAACCTGGAAGCTGGGGGGGGCGTGTAACCCTAGAAGGCATACTATATGTAACACTGCTTGCCCTTGTCCTCACTGCTTGAAGTCCAGATATTATATTGTACACCACCCCCAAGAGATTAGGGGGTGTCTAGGCTCTCTGCAAAATGGCTCCAGCCCTCACTGAAGATATTCCCCAAGTCCCCTGCACCCTAATTCCATTTAACCACCTAACAGCCAGATTAGCTTCTACAAAGAAATACAGAGGTAAAATCACAAACACATAAACTTACTGTCCTAAAGTGAAGCTTAATTCCCTCTTCTCCCTTGCGTCACCTCAGTCTCTGAGTAGGGGAAACAGGATTAGATTCATTAGATTCATTAGATTCAGCTCCTATAGAGCACAATCAATTTCAAGTCCAAAAACTGGTTCCTCAGGGCTTCTCCACCAGGCTAGCTGGCTTTAGTATCCCACCTGCAATCCTGGTTGTAAGGCTGCCCTGGCTCAAACTCCCAGGTCCACTAGAGATTACCACTGACACCTAAAACTGAGAAGGACAAATGAAAGAGAACAGAAATAAACATTCCCAGGCCCATATTTCAGAGCTGGGGTAAAAAAGAGGGGAGGAAGGTATCATATAGCCAGGTTCAGTTCAAGGTACTCATGCTATAAGTGAACTGTGATCTTCACCCTCTGGATGCAATAGGAAAGAGATTATAGGAAAGAGAAACTGTTCCAGTCTGCTAGTTTTGAAGATGCAGCCTCTTTGGCTGCACAACTAATCATAGGAAGTTTCTCCCACTCACACGGTAGGGGTGCTAGGGAATTAGGGTGTGTCCATGTTAGGCAATCTGGGCATGAGTCGAGATATATACCCAATGGGGGAGGGGGGAGTTGAGAGGAAAAAAAAGAAATTTACATGATAACTTTATTATATATTTTAAAGGAATATCAAGTTTGCAGTTTCATGTGCAATCATCTTTTCTTTATTATACTACATTATGGAAATGCTTGTTTTATTCCACAAATTAAAAATAAAATAAATTAATTTTTTAAAGTTGTATACAAAATAAATAAAGAATTGTTTAATTAGAAGAAGAAATTAGCAACTGAATAGAGTGACTAGGAAAAACTTCATGTAGATGATAGGTTTTGAGCTGAACTTTGAAAGACATTAGGCATTCGCAGAGGAAGAGGTAAAGAGAAGAATGTATCCTAGCAATAGGGATTGACTTGTCCAAAGGCTAGAAAATAGGGTGTTGTTTGTGAGGAATAATAGTCAAAAGTTCTGTTTCCAGGCTGTATGAAAAAAAGCAATGTATATTAAGTCTGGAAAGATGAGTGGGAGCTAATTGTGAAGTGCTTTAAATGCCAAGCAGAGGGGATTGTATTTGATCCTTGAGGTAATAGGAAACCTCTGAATTGTATAGAATAGCAGAGTGAAATGGTCTTACTGTTGAGGTCAGATTTGGGAGAGTGGTTCATGTGTGAAAGAATTCACTTAGATCTCTGTAGCCATTCATTGGGAGCTTTATTTAATGTGTAAGCAACATGGGTCTTCTTAGCAAGAAAGCTAAATAGGACCCTGATATTTGGGGGAGTTATATTTCAGAATGATGATGTAGTTTTAGAGGTTTTTATGGAGGTTAAAGATTAAAGACAGGACAGGTTGAGGGAGACAAAAGGAATTATGGTTTAAAGAAAGGGTAGAGGGACACAGGCTAAACATTAAAGACGGGGGAGCCCAGAATAAAGGAGCTTAGAAGATAAGGATAAGTTTTGCGGTATTTCAAGATAAAGGGAAGAGACTTCAGGATGCCCTCAAGTTACAGGATTTCCAAAGTACTAGAAAAGCAACCCTTAATATTCTTTTTAACCCTTAGGGCACCATTTGTATCCACATCAATACCTGTGCTTTAGTAATTATATGAAGGAAAGATTGGAGAGGGAACAGGTGGACCAGTTAGGAGGCTATTTTAATAGTCTAAGTGAGAGGGCCTAAATTGGGGTAGTTGGATTTGAGAGGTGTTTTCTGAAGTTAAAATCAACAAAATTTGGTAACTGTTTGAATATATGATGTGAGGGAGAGTGTGGATGACTCCATGGTTGCACTCATGAGTAACTGGAAAGATGGTTTTTACCTCCATTGTGTGATTTTTTTGAAAAAAAGATAGGTTTGTGAGTGGTCAGGAGTCACAAATAAATAATGGAATTTTATTATGTGCCCTTATATAGTGGTCTCCAATCTTTTCAAGTAAGAGGAACTCATAAATATCGTAGGCTCCCATGTGATAATAGTACTGTTTTTGTCTTTTGATGTAGAAAATATATGACAAAAAGCTACTGTGAGTTTGGTAGTGTTTTAAAATAAATTTATAGTTCATTATTCATAGCAGTATCAATATACATTTGAAAGATAGTGAATACACATATATGTGAGACATGCTATTTAATCATTCTACAGAAGATATGTTTGCTTGTCTATGAATTCATGTCTGAACATGAGGACCACTTATGATAACCCTATCCCTCCAAGTTTCCATAAGGACAGAGAGGCTGGAAACTGCTGTTCTAATGGATTTGTGTGTATATTAGAAAAATTAATAAATAAATAAATAAACTACAGAAGGAACTGCACATTTTGGAAAGATAGCATATTGATTAAGCATTAGCTGTTTGCCAGTATTTCCTTTCCCTTCTTCATCTCCCTCTGTCCACCTGGGGTTCCATGCCCTTACCAGTAGGGTGCTCTGCCCAAAAGAATGTAAATTTTGATGGCTGAAACCTCAAAAGATATCTTGGATATCTGGCTAGATTTCTTTCCCAATTTGCTCTGGCTCTCATTGATTGGCCAACAACAGGTCCCAGCCCAAGCACCACTTAGTGGTCACTATTTAGGCCCTGATGGCTCAGAATGAATGCAAATAGTAATTGTTTCTATTTTGCACAGAAACCTTGGGGGTCTTACCTCCCAGACTGATTTTTTTTTTAATTAGGTAAAAGGGGTCATTACTTGGCTCATTTCTTAATTAACCGTATTCACTGAATGTGGGTATTGCCTCAGTCAAAGTGAGAACTCAAAAAGACCTTAGCTTAAAAAGGCCAAGGCCTCCCACTGCGTTGGGGCCACCTCCAATCATCCTGATCTATATCTTGCCACTGGACCCAGGTGGCTCAGGAGGAGAGAGTGAGCCTGGTAACTTTGCACAGCCCCCCCTCACTTAAGTCCAATTCACTTGCAAGTCATGGCATCATCTTCCCGAAGTCCTCTAGGAGAACAAAGGACAAAGCAACACCTTCTAAACCTAAAGGTTATCACCACTGTCAGAGTTGCCATACACTGCCATAGTCCCTTGATGATGTGAGAGATGATCTCTCAGAAGTGAAGCCTCCTCAAAGGGTTAATAGTTCTTGTTAATAGTTCTCACAAAGGACAGCAATTAGGAGATCACTGGTCATTTGAAGAGAGATAAGGTCAGAAGCCAGATAGTGATTTAACTGTATTGTTGAAACACACTCCTTTCTGATCTTGTCAAAACCCCCCCACTCAGACCCTGTTCTTAAGCAAGTAGCAGAAAGAATAGAATAGCCCTACCCCCAACCCTTGCAAGACTTCCCACCTTTTCTTGTCTCCGGGCAAACTTGTCTTTGTTGCCTTTGTTCTCTGTTGCTGTGGAAGATTTCCGGGAATAGATTGTGCCCCCTGAAGCCTAGCCAGTGGGATAAATGGAAGGAGATTAGGGAGAAGGAACTCGAGTTAGGGTATAAATAAGTCTTGCCATTAGGGTGAAGAGGGGCGGTACCCTTTCTCATGAGAAAGCAATAAATTCCTTTCTGCTTTCAAGGTATCTAAGTCTTTGTTTTGAATTTGAGTAGTGGTCTCTGTCCCACACAATGATATTATATAACATTATTGGCTTTTTTACTGATCTAGGCTGATAACTGAGCAGCACTTGAAACAATAAAAGGATTTCTGTTTCTAGTTCAATACTCATAACTATCCCTTTTCATAAGTATTATTCTCCCAAAGAAGGCAGAGGAAAGGGTGAGAGGGTTTTTTTTTTTTTTAATACTTTTATTATGGTCAATTCTGGAACTTTGTATGTAGGCAGAATCAGATGTATTACACAGATCCAAAAATGATTTGAAATAGTACATGAAGTTTTCAAATCTACAAAAAGATTTAAGTAATGATAAAATATTTATACTATAATAAGCATTGTATACCATTTGATTTTTTCTTAACATTAAAAAATCCCTGTGTAGATATTTATTGAGTCATAGACTGGTTATAATCTCTATTGGTAGATGGAGTTTTCATATCATCAATGCCTTATGCTGATGAAATTGCAGATATTTCATACATTTGCTTGTATGCAATGCTATATTTTAGCTGACTTTGCTCTGATCTCGTAGTACAGTGGAAATCGTGCTGGCTTTGTAGCCTGTATCCAGATCTTGTCTCTACCTCTTAGTTGTGCGATCCCAAGCAGATCAGGACCTCAGTGTCCTAATGTTCAAGATAAGGATGATGGCCTGGCTGTTTTCTGAGGTCTGGTAGCTCTAAATTAGTAGTCATCTTCATTAATCATCACAAAACCAAAGTTAACTTAAATATTTCCCCAGTGTATTCACTTTGGTTTAGAGCTGGAAAGGACCTTAGAGATAAATCATGTAGTCCAATGCCCTCATTTTACAGATGAGGAAACTAATCACAAGGCTTTGAATATACATTGAAGTGCTTAAATACTTATATATGTACATGAGAACTGTTTGCACATTCCTGAGCATTCACACAATGTGGTATGACTACCGCCTCAAAGTTGACCTTAATCCTCTGAATCATCGCTGCTGAAGTAAGAGCTGTCACAGTATTCAGCCATGTAAAGGAATTTGTGAATAATCGGGTTCATCTTGGGTATCCAGTGTCTTGGTACCAGGTATGTTGAGAGGTTGAACAGATCTACAAATACTTTGTACCTGTCACTGGAAGCACATATACAGAGATTTTTGATATCAATATTAGAGGGTGTTACATCTCAAAACCTCTATGCTTATATGGAAGACCAATCAGTAAAGTAAGATTCTCCACCCAGGATGTCTAGTTTTAACCCAAGAATCTCCAATCTATGCACATAACATCCCATGATTGGCCAGATGCCTTCAGTTTATAGGCCTGCTAGAATGTTTGCTTGATCCTTTCCTGTTTTTTCTTAGTTCAGTGGTTAAGATAATGAGATAATGAGGTCTATTCAGGACATAAGGTTTCTCCAGGTCCCTTCCTCTAAGAGGTGGTAAAACAATTGATGAAATCATCCTTGAACAACATTGGTTAGAAATAGGGACTGAACCTATGATCTCATTGGTGTAGGGCAGGTTTCAAACTTACAGGTGCAAGCAGCCCACAAAAGATGAACCAGATTAAAACATAATTGGAAAATGTTTAACAAAATAAATAAAAATACAATATAGAATAGCTATATTAATTTGTAGTTTTCTAAATCAATATGCAGCTTGCAGGGTAGAGTTTAACACCACTGGTATAGGGAATTCCCTTTACCAAAACAGATCCATACCTTATTTGTGTTGGAGAATTGCCTAGTGCATTGTAAGGGTAAGTGACTTGCCCAGGGTCTCTTAACCAGTATCTCTCAAAGGCAAAATTCAAACCCTGGTCCTTCTGCCTCTTAGGCAAGTTCTCTATCCACTACCCCACAATGTCTCTTACTTGTTCCCTGGAAAATATTTCATAAAGCAGGACTGCAAAACATATGGCCCGTGAACTGCTTGCCACCAACCAAAAGGATTTCAGGTGGCTTGAAAAATGTAGGGTTGCCACTGCACACTCTCTCCTGTTTGTCACGTGACCCATGGCTACCAACCATCATCAGTCTATCCCTAGTCTAATCTATCTGTGGCCCAAAGAAGTTTACAAGTTGTGCAGGTCTATCATAAAGTATAATAATTTTGATGGTAGAGGTAAAATGCTATAAATACTGAAAAACAGCATGACTTTATCAGTACCTGGTATTTGAATAACAATTTCAACTTTGCAAAGAGTCTTCCCCACCCCACCCCCAACTTACCTGAGAACCCGTGTTTTTATAGGAGATGGCTTAAGTTCTACTCTGATTTATCCAGTCTACCCTTGAGGGGCCAGTTAGGCGGTCAAGCAAATAGAATGCTGAACTAAGTCAGGAAGACTAGTGTTTGAATACCACCTCATGCTTAACTAGGTGCAAATCACTTACCCTCCCTTAGACTCTGTTTTCTCATCTATAAAATGGAAATAATAGTACTCATAACCTTTAAATCATGGGATTCTGAGGATCAAATCAAAAATGTTTGCAAGGTCCTTTGCTAATTTTGAAGTGTTTTTTAAATGTCAACTCATGATTACTATATGTTTTGATTATCTAGTTCCCTTTGTCTTTGCAGTCTTTTAGAAATTTCACCACTTTTTTTTTTCCTTTTGGTCTGTTTCTTCTCTCACAACATGACTAATATGAAAATATCAGATTGCTTGACGTTTTGGGGGGAGGGGAGTGAGGGATGGAGAAAATTTGGAACTCAGTTTTTTTTAAATGTATGTTTAAAATTGTCTTTACATGTAGTTGGAAAAAATAAAATACTATAAAAAAGAAACTTTACCACTTGCAGCAGGGGCAAGGAAAACACATGAATCTTGATACAGTCCATTTAAGTACTTACTAGGAACTCTGATGAAAGACTGAGAAGGGATGTTTCAAAATGGCTAAGATGTCTTTAGGGGATTTTGTTTATTGTTCCATGAAAAAGTATTTATTAATCACCTCCTATGTGCTAGTTACTGTGCTAAGACTTGGAAATACATAGAGGCAGCTAGGAGGTGCAGTGGATAGAGCTCCAGCCTTGGAGTCAGGAGGACCTGCGTTCAAATACGACCTCAGACACATGATACTTACTAGCTGTGTGACCCTAGGCAAGTCACTTAACCCGATTGCCTCACCAAAAAAGGAAAAAAAAAAGACTTGGGGATACAAAGAAAGGCAAAAGACAAGAGTTCTAATAGGAGAAACATCATACAAACAACTACATACAAACATATAGATGGGATAAATTGGAGCTAATCAGTAGAGAGAAGGCATTAAGATTAAGGAGGATTGGGAAAGGCTTCTTGCCAAAGAGGGTAAAACTTTAAGTGAGACTTGAAGTAAGGTCAGGAAGCTAGGAGATGGAGGTGAGGAATCATTCTAGTATACTAGTCGTGCAAGATGGCTAGTGAAAATGGCTGGAATCAGAAGATGGATTGTCATGTGTCAGGAATAGCAAGGAGGCCAGTGTCACTGAATCACAGAGTTTGTTGGGAGTGGGGGGGTGGGTAAGGTGTAAGAAGTCTAAAAAGGTAGAAAGGTGACAGGTTATGGAGGGCTTTCAAAGCCAGAGAGGGGAATTTGTTTCTATCTTATCCATGAAGCAATAGGGAGCCGTTAGAGTTGACTGAATGGGCTTGGGGGAGAGTGACATGGTAAGCCATGTTTTAGGAAGACGAATTTGACTCCGAATCTCCATTGAACAGAATAATTAACATTTATGTTGCTCTTTAAGGTTTAATGAAGTACTTTCCTTACATTCAACCTGTGAGAGAGAGTACAGGTATCAGCATCTCCATTTTACAGATGAGGAAACTGAGGTTTTACATGAAACAGGATTTAAACCTAGGTCTTCTGACTCCAATTTCAACACTCTTTTCTCTACCACACATCACCTCTCAATGCCAACCTGTTCTCTAGTGCTTTGGAACAAACGAGAGGTGATTAACATGCTTTGTGTCAGTCTGGCATAGTAGATAGAGTGCTGACCTCAACCTAGAAGACTTTGGTCTGAATTTTTATTCTGATGAGTAATAGCTGCATTAATTCTGACCAAGTCATTTCATTTTAGGGTGCCAAGCAACCTCACAAAAATGTAAATTACAGTGCTAGTGCCCATCTGTAGTGGCAAAGCAATCTCTCTATAATAACAAGATCCCAGGTCTAACCTAAAAAGATGCATTTCTCCTTAAGACAATATTTTCCTTTTATAACTTTGCAGGCTATGTAATATGTATAAAAACAAGACAAAAGTCATTTCATTTTGTTGATTTTTCAGAACAAAAATACTATTTTTCAAAAGCATGAGAAAACATGTACTCTGCTCAGCCTGATGATTTTGGCCATCCCTTTCTAATTATATTAAGGGTCCCAGTAATGTAAGTGTTCAGCCAAGACGAGTAAAATACCTGGGAACAAACTCTTTCATATTCCCAGGGATAAAGAATGCTTTCTCCCCTACTACTACTTCTAGCCACAGTCCAGTGCCTGGCATATCACAAACATTTAATAAATGCTTATCAAATTGAATTGAATTGAATTAAAACCACCGTCACCCTCAGGATATCGAGGGAAGACCATTTATCAATTAGCAATCAATCCAAAAAAAAAAGTCCAAAACTAGAGGGAAAAGATATTTCATTTTCTTCCTGCATTTCTCCCTTTTCACTTCCAACTCAGTAACAGCCTCACAGCTTTCTATTTTTACCATTTTACCAATTTACCTCATCCAAGGCCCCAAATCATAAATATCCATTGCCTGGTTTTCTTGTCGTTATTTTGTTTTATTTCTGGCAAAAGTCTCTCTAGTGGCTTGTAATACTATGTTAACCAGGGGCCTGCATATAAAAGATCTTATGACCCATTTGCCCGTTATGATCCACTTGCCAGTGGAGAAGAACCAGGCTAAGTGCATTAGCATCAATCAATACTCAACATGAAGTGGCTTTTCTCACATACTTACCTCACTGTTGAGCGCAAATACTGGTAACCTGAGGATCCACCAGTACCAGCCTTACTTCCAAGCATTCTGTGCACCATACACACGTGATTATCTAGACAAACACACAATCTGAGGTCAGGGAGGACTTCCTCTACAGATAGTGGCAGTAGTTTGGCACATGTTTAATTGCCAGTCTACCCAATTCCGAAAGAGCCACAATGAAAAACACTATCCACCTCCAGAGAGAGAACTGATGAACTTGGGGTAAAAAGTGAAGTATAATTTTCTCACTTTCTTTACTTTTCTCAATTTTTTTGTGACATAGCTAATGTGGAAATATGTTTTGCATGATTTTACATGGATAATTGATATAATATTGCTTGCCTTCTCAGTGGGTGGAGGAAGGACTGTGGAAAGAGGGAGAGAATTTGAAATTCAATTTTTTTAATGTTTAAAATGAATAAATAAACATTTTTGATTTTTTTAAAAATTGCCAGTCTAGCAAAAGGTAACAAGTCATCACACAGCCTCATGTTTGTTAGGTGTCTATTTTAGGATAACCTGAAGGCACATCTTCCATTACACATACTTGCAAACCCACAGCTCCCTTGTTTTGTTTTGTTTTTTTTAGGTAATTGGGGTTAAGTGACTTGCCCAGGGTCACACAGCTAGTAAGTGTCAAAGTGTTTGGTCTGAGGCTGGATTTGAACTCAGGTACTCCTGATTTCAGGGCCAGTGCTCTATCCACTGCCCCACCCAGCTGCCCCAGCTCCCTTGTTTTGGCAAAATGCTTTTTTTCTCCCTCAGACATCTGGTGAGGTGTGAGTCAGTATGCCAATGCAACCAACAGGAGCAGGGTATTGTAAGATCCTGGAAGAAATGGCAACACAGGGGCAGCTAGGTGGCACAGTAGATAGAGAACCGGCATTGAATTCAGGAGGACCCGAGTTTAAATCCAGTCTCAGACCAAACACTTGACACTCACTAGCTGTGTGACCCTGGGCAAGTCACTTAACCCCAACTGCCTAAAAAGAAAAAGGAAAAGAAAAAGAAATGGCAACACAGCTACTTTAAGAAAAAAATAAACTTACATCTCCATTTGGTCATGAGGCTATCAATATCCATAAGAGAAGTTAGTAGTTGAAAGGGAACCTGGAATCTGGGCTCTTCCCTGCAGAAAAAGACAAGAAAAGACACACCATGCTCATAACTGAAGTGGACTCTATTTTCAAAGGATTTTAGAGTCTGCTATAAAGAATAGAGAGGTGACCTCAGACAGGTCCCACCATTGACGTGTATAAGCTATATGATCATGAGAAAGACATTTAACCTCTGTGTTCGAGGCAGCTCTTTAAATTTCAGAGAAGGTGCTGATCTGTATTGTTAGAGGGAGGTCCCTTCAGTAAAATCACTGGTCAGTCTCTTAACAGACATTACTCTATTATTGTAGTCTAAACCTGGCTGGAAAAAAAAAATTCCAAAACTGGAGGGAAAAGGTATTTGATTTTCTTCTACATTTTTCCCTTTTCACTTCCAACTCAATAACAGCCTCACCACATTCTACTTTTGCCCTATAATAACTTGTCTCATCCTACTCTGATGCTAACTTGGGCAGTTGCAGGGGAATGACAATATCTAGCATTTGGTGCCTTCTCTGGGAACAGAGTTGGGAGAATGAGACTATGAATAATTGTAACAATTCATATTTTTACGGTGCTTTGTAGTCTATATTGCATTTTCCACACAACAGGCCTGTGAGGTAGGTAAGTATTATCTCCAAGTAATAAGGGCAAGGAATTGCCTTTGTCCATAAGGCAATTAGGTGGCGAAGTGGATAGAGCAGTTAGCCTAGAGTCAGGAGTTCATATCTGGTCTCAGACTCTGGGTAAGTCACTCAACCTCAGTTTCCTCATCTGCAAAATAGGGATAATAATAACACCTACTTCCTAGGTTTGTTGTGGGGATCAAATAAGAGAATAATTGTAAAGTGTTTAGCACAGTGTCTGACACATAGTTGGTGTGATATAAATGTTAGTATTATTAATGAAGCTGTCTAGCGCAGCTTTGGTGCTTCTAACGCAGAGACAGAGGAATGAGTTTTTACTGAGGATTCCTCATTACATATGTGGAAGCATGTTAAAAACTTCATTTAATTGAATGAAAACTTTGTTCAACTGAAAAAATTAAGAAAAGATATTTATTCCAGCCCTTTCCATACTTTTCCCCTCAAGGTGGATAGAATGAATATTAAGGCCTTTCTTAAGGAAATGGATTAAAGCTGATAATCAAATTAAGTATTTTACTAGATAAAAATCATTGTCTCTCCACCCCCCCAAAGTGATTAGAGACAAGACCCGCCAGAGTCATTTTCTCCTTTTATGAAAGAAGGAAAGAAAGAAAGAAAGAAAGAAAGAAAGAAAGAAAGAAAGAAAGAAAGGAAGGAAGGAAGGAAGGAAGGAAGGAAGGAAGGAAGGAAGGAAGGAAGGAAGGAAGGAAGGAAGGAAGGAAGGAAAGAAGGAAGAAATTTGATTTACTAGTGTTTTTTACCCTCTCAGCTATAAAGTGTATCTTTTAATATGTGAGAGAACAAATACTAATGAAGCCTAGCTGAAAGTTACTCAATTTGTTAAACATTATTTAATAACAGTAAGCAATTTATAATTGATACCAGACCTACCACCTGCATTTTTTCAACTTTAGCTTTATGATCTAAGCTTTTTCCTTTTCTAAAGTCATCTTACCTATAAAAATATATCATCAATGCTCCCTGTAGAGCTTTGTATGACAGCCGTCTTTCACCTGCAAAATACATAGGAAGGTTTATATTGATGGCCTACCTTCCAAGATACTTATGTCAACCTTATGGCTGACTGTCCATCTTGTGCCTGTATTTAGCCTTAAACAGAGTTTATCATTATTCCCAAGCAACATCCTCCACCCTCCTAAAAAAAGACCAACGTGACTAGCATATGTCAGAGATATAACTTGAACTCAAGTCTACCTGAGTCTAAGCTTACACTTTACTCAACTTTTACTTGATGTCTCTCATAAATAAAAATAGTTGACATTTATAAAGTGCTTTACAAACAGCACTACTATCCCATTTTACAAAGGAGGACACTGAGTCTCAGAAACTTGACTAACTTCTCTATGATCTTAGTATGTGTTTGATTCAAACTCTTGCCTTTTTACTCTTAGCATTATACTTTGCTGCTTTCTGTAAGTAATTTACCCTTGTCTGTAGAGTTGAACCATCATTACTATGTTTCATAAGAGGACTGATCTCAGTAGTCTCCAGGAATGTTTACACTTGTCACAATACAGATTCTTTGTGATTTCCTTGGTTCAAAGAATTCCCTCTACCAATGGGTATTATCAAAAACTCTTCTGTAATTTGTGGTCTTAGAGAGTTGTCTGGGGCACTGAGAAGTTAGGTGACACAGAATTTGTCCAAGGTAGGACTCAGCTCAGCTCTCCACCAACTAAACCACAATGCCTCCCTGGGTACCTTTTTATAACCCGTATAATTTGACATATTTTTCAATTCCAAACTCAGGATCATCAGAGATTCCCTTTGCTTTATCTACTCATTTACTTAAAGCACATCGATAATGTCCCATTGGGCATAGGAGGCTCACCTTTCCTGAGAAGATGTTCATGCCGTTTCTCATCAAATAATGACATCAGTACCTCTTTTTGTTTTTGGAATTCAGCCAGCTGTTCATCTTTTTCCTCTGATTCTTCTTTAGCCTTAGAAGACAAGAAATAGTAGATGGTATAAGCAAGCAATCCAAAATGATTCTGACTTCTCCAGCATCCCTTTTTTTTGTTTATCCACTTTGTGCAAGGCAGCTAGGTGGCACAGTGGATAGAGCACTGGCCCTGAAGTCAGAAGGACCTGAGTTCAAATCTGGCCTCAGACCAAACACTTGACACTAGCCATGTGACCCTCGGCAAGTCACTTAATCCCAATTGCCTAAAAAAAAAAAATCCACTTTGTGAAATGGACTCTATCCTCTCTGTCTGTCTCCTTCAGCCAGCAAATGATTGGTGCTTTGGTTGTTGACTTTTTGCTTTCTTTTTGGGAGTTCACCTACTTGTTCTTTCTTTCCTCTATTTCCTCTCCTGCATTCCATACATGAAATGGCAAATAGGAACTTACTGTCTCTGAGAAGGGACCTATCATTGACATATTGATAATATATGAAAGTGATTTTTTTTGTATGAGCAGATAGCTCATTGTTGATAAGGATTCTTTGCTAAACATACCTACATAGTCCAGTGTAAGGATATTTTTAGTTATAAATGTTTATTAGCCCTGGCAAAGTGAAAAGAACACTGCCTATATAGAATTAGAATGTTTCAGATTTATTTTCAATTCTTCCACACACAAGATTTGTGACTATAAGCAAAATATTTCAGCTTTCTGGTTTTCTGAGTTTCTTACATCTCTAAAAAGAAAGGGCTGGTATAATAATGACTTCTAAGGTCCCTTCCAGCTCTAAAATGCTGTGATCTTCAAATGAATAAATGAAGGAAGGAAGGATGACAAAGGAATTCTAAGATAACTACCAAGATCAACAATGATCAAATTCATATTAATGAGTAGCTGGTAAAGAAAGTTCACTAATTGTACTTTGTAAAAACAAACTATACGATGATGCCTCACTGTACAGGTTAAAGAAAAAGATTTCATTCTAATTAACTGACTTCTCAATGGGACTGCATTGAGTGGTGGGAACCTTCATACATATATTGGTGTTAGATGGCTGGCAAAATTTTGTACTCCTACATCTAATTGTTCTGTGCACTTTCTACTTGCATATAATCAAATTTATAGTTAAATGTTAATAATGGGGGAAGCTACGTGGCACAGTGGATAGAGCATATGTCAGTGTGCTGGATATACAAAGTCAAAAACAAAGTAATCACTGCTGTCAAGGCACTTCCATGTTGTTGGGATGGGAGATGTGGTAGGGGTGAGCAAATGATATTTTAACTGTTCTTCAGACATCTAATCCTGCTTAAAAGCTTAGATGTATGAAGCACAGTTTAATAGGGTATTAAAGTATGCATATATTTTAATTGAATAGTTACTGAATATTTAATCATAATGGGACATTATTTTATTCATTACATTATTTATTTGAAGAAATTAGAACTTAACTTGTTTTTTTATTATTAACAAGTAAATTTTGTGTGAAAAATATCAATAATCTAAAGGGTAGAACAATTTTCAGCCCTATCTTCTTTGCTTTGGAAAAAAAAAAATTCTTTCCAACTAGATCCTGCTCCTTTGCATTTTCCATAAAGAAACAGAAGTGGAGTTTAAGGATTGGTGACCAATGGCAAGTCCTTTTAAAATTTTGATTTTTTTACCCCCTCCTTTATCCCTACCAACTGTAGCCACAGACTGAGTCATGGAAACAATGGTGGGGGGTGGGGCAGTGAGAGAGATGTTTAACTGATTTTTCCCTGACCTAGACAAAGCCATCCGAGTCTCCTGGGTAGGACAGATGGGGATTTCCAGAGGTTAGGAAGGAGAAGAGTCGGCAATGAGTCTGACCCCAACAGGAATTGAAATCTGACGAACAGAGATACCATCTAAGCAGACAAAGCAAGACCACAAAGACGGTCTAGAAGAACGTCCTGGAGGAGCCCCGGGAATTTGTTTTGATTGACTGTGCATATTTATTATGAGTGTTATTTTTCTTTTGTTTATTTGTTTGTTCAATGGGGAGGGAGTGCATAGAAAGGAGAGAAAATAAAAGCCTATTAATTCAAAAAAATTGGAAGTTTGGGAAAGTGAGTAGGGGAGAGAGAGAGAGAGAGAGAGAGAGAGAGAGAGAGAGAGAGAGAGAGCTGTGAAGTTTCTAAGTCATGGAAGCAGAGGATGAAATAAACATAGCTACAGAAGTGCTGATTGCAGCAATGGGGTTCCTCAGAGACTGGGAAAACCATCCCTGATGGAATCTAAATGCTGGGGAACTCCATCTTGGAGTACATGCTATTGACACATTAGGATGGGCCCAGCACACCCCATATTAAACACAGATACCTAAAAGAGATTCTTTACACAGGTTCAACTCCAAATGGAGTAAGATCAAATTAAACCAGGGATCATTAACCTGGTATTTGTGAACACACACACTCTCTCTCTCTCTCTCTCTCTCTCTCTCTCTCTCTCTCTCCCTCCCCATACACACACACACACACACACACACACACACACACACACACACACATTCACATCTCAGTAACACTAGTTTCCTTTGTAATTCTGTGTATTTTTATTTTATGTATTTAAAATTATTGTGAAAAGCATCCATTGACTTTACTAGACTGCCAAAAGGGTCCATGACATAAAAATAGTTAAGAACTCCTGAATTAAATTGCCTGTGTGAAGTACTAAAGTTTGAGGTCTTTGAGGAATGAGAGAATATAAAGGAAAAAAAAAACTATGAAAGATTCAAATGGAATGACCAGTTTTTCTTCTTATTCATGTCTTATGCTTTCAAAAAAACACAACAATACCTGAATCATTATGAATTCCTCTTCCAGGCCTTTTATGATATTCTTTTCCAATTTTCCCCAAAAATTAAATCCATCGGTTTCTAATCCTGGTGTTCTTTCTAGCCATGCCTCAAATAAAAGTGAATATCTTTGTAAGTACACAATAAAGATTATAAGTAACAACAATTTATTATCTAAAAACCTATAGTTGGATTTTTTTTTAATCTCTTTCACCTGACACCTACCTTGTCCACATTGAACCAGCCCTCCTTACAAATAATAACAACAGCAAAACCTGGTGAGACCGTAACTTTGTATGATAGTATATGTAATATTCTACATATATTACAGAGACCTGAAAAGTGTTTCATACTTTCTTCTTCTCCTGCCACTCCCATTCCCATTACTAACTTCATGCATTCTGCATTCCAGAAAAAAACAAAAACAAAAACAAAAAACAAGCTATCCTGAGTAATCCATATACTGTCTCTCACTGCTTTTCATTTGTTCCCCTGACTGTAATAAATGCCTGCCCCATCTCTATTTTTATAATCTTTTTCTTGCTTTTAAGTTCTGCTCATGCACACCATGAAATGTTTCCTGATTTCCCTCTGCTGAAACTGTGCACTCCCTCTTTCTATTTTTCTAAAACAGATTTCTCCTTTGTAACCTCTTTATAATACCCTCCACTGCATTATACTGTACTTGTTTGTGTTGAGGCAATAAATTCTGACCCTTCCTCAGTTTGTACAAATTCATTAAGTGTATGCACTTAATCATTTTAAAAATGCATATCCCTAGCACTTAACCTAGCACCTAGCCTTAAGGAGCTGGTTAATAATTACTTTTAATTAAACTCAATTTAAATAAATTTAATTCCAGAAAGAATATTACTTCATAATCCAGAATAAAAAACTTTGTTTTGTACCTTTATGAAATGTGCTGTCCTGAATAAATTAATTTGTGACCATTTACACATATTTAGTATGGTGTCCATCTCCACTATTTTTTCTAGTCATAATAATCAGTTTTTCATCTGGCACTGTTGTGAATCTAGACACACATCTGTGAGATGCTCATCTGGGCCTAAATCTGCACTTAGGATTATGGGATATTTTCTCTGTGCAGAACCAGAAGAATGGTTCCTACATGGATAAAACCTGCTAGGTCAGTGCCATTGCCCTCAAGCTCTGACAACTTGGCCAACCAACCAAAACCATGCCTTTTCTTTTCTTTTTTCTTTCTTTGTGTGTGAGTGTGTGTGTGTGTGTGTGTGTGTGTGGGTTTTTTTGCTAGATAATGGGGTTAAGTGACTTGACCAGGGTCACACAGCTATTAAGTGTCAAGTGTTTGAGGCTGGATTTGAACTCAGGTCCTCCTGACTCCAGGGCCAGTGCTCTATCCACTGCACCACCTAGCTGCCCCAGCTATGCCTTTTCTTATAGAAAAATTATGGATTGGGCCTGAAAGTTTTTAAGAGTCCATGATTCCAATTCTGAGTAAGAAGAGACTGTTCTACATGACCACTTCATCAATTATTACTTATAAGCTTTCCTAATTACACCTTAAAGAAAACATCTTGAGACAACTAGGTAGCACGGTGGAGAAAGCACCCTTGGAGTCAGGAGGACCTGAGTTTAAGTCTGTTCTCAGACTCATAACACTGGCTGTGTGACTCTAGGCAAGTCACTTACCCCCAACTGCCTTGCCAAAAAAAGACATCTTTATGTAGTCTTTCTTTTGAAGCTAAGAAAGCTGGTGATGGAGCTATCTCAGTCTCCCTAATCATTTTGTATCTTAACCAAGCTTATTTGTGGTGGTCTATATTTCTAATAACAAAATCTGTAATACTTTAATAATTAAACAGCTAAAAGGTAGGAGGGATTGTTGATCATCATCAACTATCCTGTTATCCAATGTAACTTTTATAGTTTTCACAGCAATTGAAGTTCATCAGCTGGCATAGGTCAGTTGGGTACATAGTTTCTGGCAATCTGTTGTCTCCTATGCTGTTACTGCTCTGAGGCCTCCCCTTGCATTCTGCTCTATGCTCCATAGCTCTCTAATCCCCAATCTGCCAAATGGGTTGACAGTCTTGGTCTTCTCTTGGAACACTGCTCTTGGATTCTCTTTTCTCCATTATGCATCAAATCGCAGCAAACGACCATGCCTTGGATTTTAAAATGACCCATCTTGCTTCCCCCTTGGCATCTCTACCTCTGCTATTTTTATTCAATTATTCTTATGGCCAACAACTTCTTGGCTTGCCTTGGGACTTTGTCTTAAATGACTCCACCCATCTCTCCAGACAAAGCATAGGTTCTCAAAGTGGGAGATACTGCCCCCTGAGGGGTGCTGGAATGATCAGGGGTGGGAGGGGTGGTAGTAGCTTTGGGTACAATTGTGGGGCATTGAATAAAAATAAGGGGGCCATGGAAGCATAAGGAAGGAAAAGAAAATTTTGAAAAACTGCTCATACATGTTTCATCTGTTGTATAACAGAGTTAAAGTTATAGTGATTACATTGTTTTCCAAATAAACACACAAAATGCAAATTAAAACTGATTAGTGGTCAAGTCCACCAACAGGTCTTAACAAGCAAATGTTGGCAGGTGAACATGTCGCGCATTGTTAGGAAGACCAGTATCCAGGAATATGTTTTGTAATGACTTGTTTACAACATGATACTATACGGTTACATGATGGAATATTGCAACTATCATAATTTCAATGCAGGAAAAAACCCTCAAATTTACAATAAATTATTAAATTTAAGATGCATCATTTTTTAAAAATATTTTATATTTTTTGAAATGATGCAAATTTCAAAAAATATATATATATTAAAAGGTTAAAGAAAGTAGATTTCTGGGGGAGGAGAGGGGACTTAGTAATTTTTTTAAAAGGGAGTGGTAGACCAAATAAGTTTGGGAACCTCTGATCCAAAGTATTGTCCAGGCTTGGGCCTGACTGTTGCCTTGTACTTGTAACTTGTAAGACTTGTAACACCATGAATTTCTGCTTGTTCTCATTTTAGCTTAGACTAGAGGTTCTTAACTGGGGTCTCTGGACTTGGGGTAAGTGTGTATGTATGTGCGTGTGTGTGTGTGTGTGTGTGTGTGTGTGTGTGTGTGTATGTCCAAGTCCAGCAACTGTGTCTATGTCTATACACACACACATACATAAATGTGTGTATATACACACATACCTATATTATGTGTATAAGTATATATAGTATGTGCATATAGGAATATATATATGTATGTGTATATATTTGTATACACATGCATAAATATATATATATAAAACTGTATTTTAATATAATTGGTTTCCTTGATAACTTTGTTATTTTATTTTATGCATTTAAAAACATTTAGAGAAGGGATTCATAAGCTTCACCAGACTGCCAAAAGGGTTCGTGACCCAAAAAGGCTTCTTCATCACTTCAAAGCTATGCCCCAAAGTATTGGTAAAGGTGTTTAATGCCAAAATGCCAGTGAGTAAAGGAGTGAATTCTCTTCAATGGAAACATGAATTCATATGAATCTGTCCCTTTTACAGACTGAATCCTCAAAAATGAGGCAGATCCTGACCAGGATTTAAATAATTTTTTAAAAAAGGTCTTTCCTCCCAAATTTATACCAAGAACAAGATGATTGAGGAAATCCTTAAGGAAACCTGGGAAAAGAGATAAAATTCCCAAGTAGCAAAATCTTACTAATTCAGATTAGTGTGGAGGAGTATTCAATTTAGTGAAAAGCTGAATTGTGGACTTACTTAAAGAAATATACTTTTGCTTATTTCTAAAACATGTTTAGTGGCAACAAAGTACTCCTCCACTGAGCTCCTTAAGGTCTTACTTTACCAAATACATAGGAACAATTTACAAAAGATTAATCAATTCTGTCCACACAGACACTTCTGAAATTATTGGAAAGTCTGTTCTCTTCAATATTTGTTTTAAATTCTCTTCTAATTCTGTTTTCTATTAATTTGGATTATGAAGAAGGATTACCAACAAAAGCTTTACCAGTTGACCTCCTGTTTGAATTTCACAAATAATGATTTTGTAATGGCTCTCAATTAATGACCCTAAACTGTTGGTTTCTGAATTCCAAAGGAAAATAAGTTTGAATATGTACCTCTACCAATTGTAGGAGGGTTTTCTCGTGTTCAGACTTCAGCAACAATTCATTGTCCTCTCCCTTGAAGTTATCCCGATAGTGTCTCCTGTTATAAGGAACTCTCAAACTCTGGAGAACACCAATCTTATTTTCTAATAGGCGGAACTGTAAGCTCTGGAAACCTGATGCTGGAGATAAGTATTCTCTTTGAGAACAAATTGGAAGGGAGAAAAAAAAAAGAGAAATAAATAAACTGACAGACTGACATTACAAATCACTGAAATAGTTTCCCATGAGCTGCTTTCAGATTTCCTCTCATAAGGAATGTTCATCAATGGCTCAACAAGTTATGGTATATGATTGTGATGGAATACAATTGTGCTATAAGAAATGACGAGCAGTATGATCTCAGAAAAACCTGTAAAGACTTATACAAACTGATACAAAGTGAAGTGAGCAGAACAGGAGAACATTGTACAGAGTAACAGTAAAATTGTACAATGATCAGCTGTGCATGACTTAGCTATTCTCAGTAATACAATGATCCAAGATAATTTCAAAGGACTCATGATGAAAAATGCTATCTGCCTCTAGAGAAAGAATTGATGGGGTCTGAATGCAAATCAACTCATACTATTTTTCACTTTATTTTTGCGTTTTTTTTTTCCTTTTTGGGGGGGGTCTGTGTCTTTTTTTACAAACATGAGTAATATGGAAATATGTTTTGCATGATTGTACATGTATAACCTATATCAAATTACTTGCCATTTTAGAGAGCACAGAGGGAAAAAAACGGAAATTTGGATTACAAAATTTTTAAAAATGAATGTTAAAAATTGTTTTTACATGTAACTGGGGAAAAAATAAAGCATTATTCAAAAAAAAAGATTTCCTCTCACAGAGATTTTCAAGCATTGGAGTCATTATCTGTCTGGGGCACTGTCTTTCTTTACTAGAAATAGGGAAATAAAATAGGTCATATGGTAAAGGGGACAAGATGCAGAACATAGAGTCAAAAGGGCCAGGTTCAAGTACTGGCTTTGCCGCTTAATAGTTTGGAGGTCCTCTCTCCCTCCCAGCTCCAAACTGAAAGGAAAATAAAAAAGCTTTGAGAAAATCTAATGAGGCTTAAAGTCCTAAATGGTTCTAAGACTAGATCCTAAAAACCCAGATACTCCAAAAGGAGTATCTATTCTGATTTTAAGCAAGCCAGAAATTATCTAGCCCTTGGTTTCCTTATTTATAAAATCAAGATTGTAACATTACACTAGTTTCTTTATAGAATGGTTTAGGAGACTCAGGGAGATGATATAAGTGAAACACTTTGGAAACCATGAAACACTATAAAAATCCTGCTATTAGTACTCCTTTCAGTCATACAAACACACACACACACACACAATATGTATGTGTAAATGTATCTATATATATATATATACATACATATAATGTGTATGTATGTATATGTGTGTGTATAAAAAGAAGGCACATAATAATCTTTGCAGGGAATTTGAAGATGCGTGAACTCAAGAATGACCTTCTCTGAACACTGCTTTAAAACACCTTATTCTAAAGAGAACTCAGTTAACAAATATACCTTATCTCATGCGTCAATGTGTATACAATCATGGCTCCTTCCTAATATAGGGCCTTACAGGTTAAGTACTTCATGAATGCTTAATTATACTGAATTTAATAAGACCCTGATTGTGGTTTGTTTGTTTTTTTTTTTGATTTTCAATGGATGCAGAAGGAGAAAAAGTAGATTATTGTTTATTGAAATATATATATATTCACATATGTATGTGTATATATACACACATACATACATACACACACACATACATACACATACTTGTATGAACGTTTATGAAAGAATATTACCCTTCTGGAATAGAAGTTTGGAATTCTGTGACCAAAGTTCCCTTGGCTTCCATAGCCCCCCCCGCAAAAAAAAGCTGAACAGTTATTCATTACTTTATATCTATACAAATAATATTATGTGGTATTACCAACTGACAAATTAGTGGCACGTATGGCTTGCTGTGCACCTTAAGCAGATAACCATTATCAAGCAGGAAATGCTTGATAAATGAATGAATGAATCCAAATTGACTTAGACATTGTCTAAAATTCCCCACAAATTAAGTAACCATCAGTTGATTTTGAGCATGTTGAACCACAGTATCCAGTCTTACACCAAACATGATGTCTGTGCACTTTACCCTTTGCCCTTATGAAATGTACTAAAACTTTATTTTTTTGGGGGGGGGGAGAATTGTTACACAATTTGATCTCCTCCCATCACTACTTCCTCCAGGCTTGGCAGCTAGATTACACTGTGGATATAGCTCTGGGCTGGGAGTCAGGAAGAGCTGAGTTCATATTTGGCAACTCATTTAACTTCTGTCTGCCTCAGTCTCCTTATCTGCAAAATGGGGTAATAACCTACCAGGGTTGTTGTGAGGATCAAACAAGAGATTTGTAAAAACACTTAGCCCAGTGCCTAGCACATAGGAGATACTTAATAAATGCTTGTTTCTCTCTTTTTCTTCCTTCCTAATAACTTGTTTATAAACATTATCATAGTCATGGATTTCAGAGAATAAAATGTGTAGAATTTTTCCACTAATTTTTAAATATTTGTCAAATATTCTCAAATTGCGTAGTGACAAAACATTCATCGGTATCACAGGAGTATTTTTTCATATTCATTTATAATATATACTTGATTAGTTGTTTCCCCAGAACAAAAATAATAATAGTTTAAATTAAGATATGAGATAAATGTAAACTCATTTTGAGGTCCAAAATATCAACTTCATAGGTACAAGATGGGAGAGTTAATTTAGGTTGCCTAAGAATAAAGATTTAATATAATATTAAATTATTAAATCAAATCACTAAATCAAATCATTAAATTAAATTATTAAATTAAATTAAAATATTTTAATATAAATAAAAATAAAGGGTTTTAGTATACTAAAGCTTTAGACAAGACAAGAACAAGTGATGTGGTAGTCGAAAATATTAATATTATCTTAGATAACATTTAAAGAGGATAGCACCCTGAATAAGGGAATTAATAGTGCACTGCCCTGGTCAGACTCTGAAGCATTGCATTCTTTTCTTGGTACTTTACTTTGAAAAGGAAATTGGAAAGCTAGAAAGCAACCAGAGGAGAGAAAGCAGGATGTTTAATGGTTATGAGTTCATACCAAATGGGAAATTATTGAAGGAAATGGAAATGTTTAACCTGGAAAAGCAATGAATTAGGGGGGGATGTGATAGCTATGTTTCCAAATTTGAAGGAAAGGCTGTTATGCGGAATTAGATGTTGCTGCTTCATGCCTGAGGGCAACAATGAGTGGACGTTGTGGAAACACACACCTAGGCTTCAAGTAAGAAGAATCTTCATAATAATTAGAGCTCTCCAAAAGTGGCATGGGTTGTTTTGAGAAATAATGGATTGTCCCTCACAAGAGGACAAGGAAAAGCTGGACAAGGAAAGGCAGATATGTTGTTAAGTGATTTTATTCAGCTGTAGCTTAAACTGGATGAAAACTGCATTCCCTTTGAACTCTGAGATGCCATGATACATCCAGCTTATAGAGTACTTCCTTTGGACCCTGTGAGGCCATAGTTCTTTGCTTATTTGATTTTTAACGGATAAGGAGGGAAGAATCTGAACCTGTGATATCACTCGTACAGAGAACCCTCAGTAAAGACACATTCACAACCACTGTACAACTCTCCTCTGCAATTAAAAAATGGCTTATGACCTTGAGAAGTTAAGTGACCTGTCCCGTGACAAGGGTAAAATTTGAATCTCGGTTTTCCTGACCTGAAGGAAGTCTCCCTATTCACTATGCCAAGACGACTATCAATGAAGCCAGGAACATTGTTTCCATTTCACAAATGACAAAATTGAGGATTAAAGAGATTTTATAGACACAGATGGTAAATACCACAGAAAATAGTGATAGAACTGGGCCTCAAAAATCAGATCTTTTCACTCTAAATCCAGTGCTTTCCAAAATACAACTATGCCACCTTCACACAAATGCTCTCTTCTTGCAGATTGGATTAGAAGGCAAATATCCAGAAAGTTTAAAAAAAAATTAAGAAACACATACCTGAAGTCATTGAAGTCCAATGCTGTCATAGTTTCCAAAATTGAAAATTGTTGTACAAGTAGCTTCAATATCACTGAAATTCGATGTATTCTTGTAACAACCTTAAGCATATTCCTTTCATCTCTTACCTGATAGTTAAGGAATAAAATCAGGATTAAACAAATGCAATTTCTGGAAAATAAATACTTAATTAAAATTAGCACATTTGTCATGAACTTACTCTCCATTCATAAGAAGGCTACTTAGAATTCTGGAGTTTTAAGATACAATCCAAGGTTCTTGTGCATGTGTGTAGGGAATGTGTATGAATGACAGACACACTATTAAGTTGTTAAAATAGACGTGCTCATTATGAGTTTAAAATTTAAAATATCAGAAAATTATACTGAGGCAAGTAATCTCTAAAGTAAATCTTAAGGGGCAGCTAAGTGCAATGGATAGAGCACTGGCCCTGGATTGAGGAGGATCTGAGTTCAAATCCGGCCTCAGATACATAACACTCACTAGCTGTGTGACTCTGGGCAAGTCACTTACCCCCAATTGCCTCACCAAAAAAATAAATAAATAAATAAATAAATGAAACTTAATATTGTGCCCCACCCAACTGAACAAAAAACCCACTTATCCATTATTGACACCATATCCTTTAGTGAACGTCAATGAGCAACCTGCCAAGACAGAAAGCCTTACATACCACTGTATTTTAAGTTTATGCTCATTCTTACCCATCCTCACCCTGGGATATATCTGTGAGAGAGAATGACTATGGTGTTGAAGATGATTTGTAACTACTTTTCTTTGCTGTGTGACCTTGGGCAAGTCACTTAGTTTCTTCAACTATAAAATGGGGGTAGTAATAGCACTTACTGGGGGCAGCTAGGTAGCGCAGTGGATAGAGCATCGGCCCTGGATTCAGGAGGACCTGAGTTCAAATCTGGCCTCAGACACATAACACTTACTAGCTGTGTGACCCTCGGTAACCACTTACCCCCATTGCCTAGCAAAAAACAAAAACAAACAAACAAAGCACCTACCTCTCAGGGTTGTTGTGAGGATTAAATGAGATAGTATTTGTTAAAGTGCTTGGCACAGTGCCTGGCACATAGTAGTAATTGTATAAAAGTTAGCTATTATTAATAATATATTACTATGGCATTTTAGTAAATGCCAGGAAAGAAAGAAGGCTAGAAGGATGGAAGGAAGGAAGAAAGGAAAGAAAGAAGGAAAGCAGGAAGGAAGGAAGGAAGGAAAGAAGGAAGGAAGGAAGGAAGGAAGGAAGGAAGGAAGGAAGGAAGGAAACCTCCTCCATAAAAAGTAAGCTCACTGATAGCAGGAACTGTTTCCTTTCTGTCTTTGATTCTTGTCCCCTTAATTCAATGACCTGTGTTGCTTAATAAATGGTTGGTGAATGAGTAGGAAAGCAGAGCTTCCACTGACTTCAAAGAGTATTTCCCTTGGAGTTTAACCTCAAAGAATAGGTAGCAAAGTAAGATCATAAATAGTAACATTGATGCTGAAATGATGATGATGATAAGTGGTTGCATGTTGCTGGTTACAGAACTTGGAGTCCAGTGATTTGCGTTTGAAGCCTGGTTTAGATCCTTCACTAGGTGATCATGATACCCCTCAAGTTTCACCACCATCATCTGAAAAGTGGAAAGCATAATGCTAGCCCTGCCTTCTACAGGGTTAATATTACAAAGAAAGACCTCTACAAACCTTAATGTGGTATAAACAGGTAAGGGACTATAATCATTTTAGCTTAGGGAAATGTAAAATGTGGTTTCTGGGTAAAGAATAAAGAAAAACTCGATTGTTTTTTTTTTCAATCATTTCGATATCTGTTAGAGCCAATATTTCTGATAATTAATGAAATAAGGATCCTGTCATCATTTTAGTTATCCCAGTAGAAAGTTTTTGGAATGGGTTCCCTAGCCTATCTCATTTTTCCTTTTTCACATTTATTTATAGCCCAAAAGAGATTCAGATTCAATGTATACCATGTGGATAAACTGCCATTGACTCACAATAACTACATGACTCTTGGCAAGTCACCTCATTTTCAGTATCTCCAGGTTCTCTAGCCTGTCCCTTAAGATAATAAATTAGAGACAGGCTATAGTTCTGCATTAGTGGAAGGAATTTCCATATAAGAATTTCCTTCCATCAATGACAGGTTAAGATGCCTCTGACCTTCCTCAGCTAAGTCAGAATTTGAGGTGTCTGGGTGACCTTGATGTAAGAAAAATAGGCATGGTAAATCTCTGGATGATAGAATAACAAAGACAAACTAGTATAGTAGCTGGTTGTTTTGGGGTTTTTTTGGGTGGGGGAGAGGAGTGGCATTTAAAATAGAACCCGCTACACTCAGCTTGCTATGCTTTAAAATGAAATATGCTTTTTGAGACCAATAAACTCAAATGTCACATTCATTGAAATCAAGAAAAATAACCATAAAAACAACAATAACAAAAATATGCTTAAAAGTCAAACAGGCCTGTGTTTGACTTAGCTAAATCAAACAGGGTCAAGTTCATTTATATAACCCCCACATTTCAAAGTGCACAGATAGCCAACATGCATGCTCTTGTTGGAGGGGATCCAAGCCTAAGCAAATTCCTAGGAGTAAAGTAATCATGCATATGCTATTCCTGGAAGCTATCCTTCATTCTGGAATTTCTATTTTCAAGGCAATTTGTCACTAAAATTTGTGTGTCCGGATAATTACCTAACGAATGAATATTTGAGAGAGTCCAAGAGTGCAAAGAACTATGTCACTGGCAGCTTGTGTAGGAATACCACTCACCTTGCCTGACTCCCTCCATTCTCGTTGGACAGGTCTGTACTACACTGACAACTTCCTTTTCCTTTTTTTGAAATGACATGTTTGGCTCCTCTACCATTGAATTATCACATAAACTCCATTTTGAATATGTCCTTACACTTTTTATGCCAAACACAAGCTTCTCAAAGAATCTCAGAGCAAACAGGGATCTTGGAGGTTATCTAACCCAACTCATAACTGAGCCGGCATCTCCTTTGCCGTATCCCCAGCAAGTGGTCATCCAGTTTCTACTCAAAGACCTTTAGTGATGGGGGTCCCTACAGCCTCCCAAAGCAGCCATTTCTACCTTGGAATAGAGTGATAGACCTGAGTATTAGAAAAATATTTCCTTAAATGGAAATGCATAAGGAGACACTTGGTGGATATCTCAGTGGTTAGAAAGCAAGCTGGCCTGGAGTCAGGAAGACGCTGGTTCAAGTTCCAACTCTGAGATATACTGATGGTGTAATACTAGGCAAGTTACTTCATCTCTCTGTGTCCTCAGGAAGCTCTCTAAAATTGCAAATCACAGGACATTGGCCAGTCTCCACTGATAAATTATCATAAAGTATTCCCTACACCAAGGGTGATGAACCTGTGGCCTCCAGGCTACATGTGGCCCTCTAGGTCCTCAAGTGCGGCCCTTTGACTGAATTCAAATTTCACAGAACAGAGAGTCACACTTGAGGACTTAGAGAACTTCATGTGGCCTTGAGGCCACAAGTTTCCCACCCCTGCCCTACATCAATGAAATTACAGGTCTAGCCCCACCCCCCAAAAAAAAAGTAAAAGAAAAAAGAAAAAATCTTTGGTAGAGATCAACAGCATCGAGGGAATACGAGTTTTGTTTGAGAGAAACAGAAAGGGGGGCAGCTAGGTGGCACAGTGGACAGAGCACCAGCCCTGAAGTCAGGAGTACCTGAGTTCAAATCCAGACTCAAACCAAAACACTTGACACTTACTAGCTGTGTAACCCTGGGCAAGTCACTTAACCCCAACTGCCTCAAAAAACAAACAAACAAGCAAACAAAAGAGAGAGAGAAGCAGAAAGATCTAGGAAAGGGGATATGAAAAGTTAAGTAATTTTAGAGCAGAGAGAAAAATTTAGGGACGTGACTGGTAGACAGATGCTGCCATAGTTTGAAAAGGGAAGAGAGAAGGGTACAAGGAGAAGGCAGGGAGGCACCAGAGGCAAACCTGCTACTTAAGAATATATCCTAGAGCTATCTCTTAGATAGGGGTTCATTTCCTCCCCTTGCTTTCCCTTTCTCAACTTTCTCCTTCTCTAAGTCCCATATTCTTCCTTTTTGCTTTTCTTCTTTCTCCTTCTTCAGTTCTGCATTATTCCCTGTTCCTAGGACCTAGACCCCAGGATTAGTCCTGTTTGTCCTAGTTCAACTATTAGTACCTGGCTCAAGCATTTGATTCAATGAATGTTTATTCAACACTTATTATTCACAAGTTATTGAGCTTTTATGGGTCAACCTGGAAGCTTAAAGATCATTTCTGGCATTGTTCTATGGGAAAACGTATTCCAAATAAGTCTCAAGCCAAGAACAAAGGTCTAACGGGTTTAGGAGTTGATCCACAGTGCCGCTTCAGGCCACTGAGGCATTTATTTCCCTGAAATTCCATTATGCCCAAGCAAAGCTATTAGGGTCCCTAGAAGGAAACTGAAGCAACTTTTAGGGCTAGACAGTAGAATGGTCACTAGAAAAGCCTAACACAACAATCAGACTTGTTTATTTGTTAAGAAGGACAGATGATCCTTTTAACTAATCCCAAACAGTTTTATGTTAAGTAGTGGAATATAAGCTCCTTGAAGTCAGTCATAGTTTTGTCTTCGGCCTTTGAATGCCCTAGCTTCTCTTGCCAGTGCTTTACATATAGTAAGTACTTAATAAATATTTGTTGGATTAGATTGGTTAAATTTTGCATCCTACTAAATATTTCATAGCCATTCCAAACAAAATAAAATAAAGCACTATACTGAAATAATAGCATAGCATCAATTGGACTTACATGGCCATGTTGAAAAATCTCCCGGACAGAATCTAATTCCCACAGGATTTGCTTAAACCACAGTTCATATGCTGTAATAAGAAAATCATAGTTACTGCCAAGTTATTTGTTTTATTCTTTGACTACATATATACGTATAAAAAAGAGAGAGAGACAGAGAGAGAGAAATAGTATCATTCTATGGCTTTTACATATGCATGAGGTGGGTTTGGGTATAGGGGGGTACAAAGAAAAAAATATCGCACTTAGTGTCCTTATGGGGAAGATGGGAAGAAATCTGCCTTAATGTGGAGTTATCTACCTAACAGATATATAGGGATCAGTGGAGGGCTTTGGAATGTTTAAATGCAAATTATTTAAAAGATACTGTTGGTATTGGAAACAATGCCTCAAAAATCATCAAATTGTGCATACCTTTTGACCCATTGATACTACTACTAGGCCTATATCCCAAAGAGATAAGAAAAAAAAGGAAAGGGTTCTATATGTTTAAAACAACAACAACAACCAAAACCTTTATCAGCTCATTTGGTAGGGCAAAGAACTGGAAACCATCAATTGAGCAAATCAACTGTATGAATATAATTGCATACCATTAAGCCATAAGAAAGGATGAAAAGGATGGTTTCAAAAAACCTGGGAAGACTTATATGAATTGATAGGAGTAAAGTGGGCAGAACCAGGAGAACAATTTTTATAATAGCAACATTTAAGGCAAGCAATTTTCTAAGTCTTTAGAACTCTAATCAATGTAATAGCAACAACTAATTATGATTCCAAAAGACAAATGATGAAGCATGCTACCAACTTCCTGACAGATAGACTCAAGAAGCAGAATGAGATATATGTTTTTAGACATGGCCAATATGAGAATATATGTTGCTTGACTGTACATACTTATTACAACGGTTTTGTTTCTTTTTCTTTCCAGTGGGGGAGGGGTGGGTGAGAGAGAGAAAACAATCCTTGTCAATTTAAAAATAAAATAAAAGTTACAAAAAAGTATTAATGGTTAGTTCTTATCTAGAATTCTGCAGACAGCAAGCAAAAGGAACATAATGCTAGGTATTTCCTTAGAAGTGAAGTCTTATTAATTCTTTGCTTGTCTCTGATAACGTTATTCATACTGATCCAGTATGAGATCTGTCTTCATATGGGAAGTATGTTTAATTTTAAAGTTTCCACCTTAACTCTGATTCTTGCCAAAGCAATACTAATTAAGAAGGAAAACAATAACAACTAAAAAAGTCAAACAACTAAAAAATAGTTTTTACCTGATTCATAATTCTATGAATCAAGAATTTATTAGAAAAATCTAGTTATAATTTTCATTGCAAAATTAAAAGGAATTATTTCTTTGAAATGAGGAAATATTTGAATGCAAATGGAATACACACAAGTAAGTACCTGCAGCCTTTGTATTCAAATATTAACTTTGTATAGAAGCTGGATATTTGGGGGCAGCTAGGTGGTGCAGTAGATAGAGCACCAGTCCTGGAGTCAGGAGGACCTGAGTTCAAATCTGACCTCAGACACTTAGTAGCTGTGTGACCCTGGACAAGTGACTTAATCCTCATTGCCTCCTTAAAAAAAAGAAGAAGCTATGTATTTGTTGTGAGGTGAACAAGCTTCCGTGATGCTGATCAAGAAAGGTTTCCAGCCCCAGCCCTCAACATTTCTTGTATTAGCTCTGAAATGGTGAAAGTCTTGTTATTTAGACAAGGATGGCATGTTAATCATTAATATATAATATATCAATCATTAACATATTAGTAAACTTTGGTCTGGTAGATTTTAAACAGTCAGTCATCTAAAGTGACCCTTGAGGGAATGAGACAAGGGACTGGTAGATTTCTATGGAGGGAAAATAGATAAATAAATCTGAAGTGAAAGTGAAGTGTCATAGGGGATAGAGAACTATCTTTCAAGTCAGGAAGAGCTGTACCGAAGCGTCGCTTCTCTTACATACTAACTGAGGAAGCCTGGACAAATGATGGTCTCCCTCGGTATCCCAAGCAATTTCCTAAAATTATAACTTTCAGAGAAGGCGCCAACCTCTATCTGTAGAGGGAAATTCCTATATGGATGAAATAATAAATGAGGTCTGAAATCTGTAATGTGGACTCCATATGGAACATCTCGGCATAATTTCTGGAGCTGGGGTAGGGAATGAGAGTGGGGAGGTGGAAGTGGACTGAATGAGAGCACAGAGCCCCTTTAAGTGGTGAAAGGCACTGGAAGGAAAGAGGATGCTAAAGTTAACCTTTATATCTTTCGCAATTTTGCCTAGAGCCAGGCTTGCATATGACTCCATAGTATTTTCCTAAATAAATTTGAAGCCATCTATCACCATTTCCTTAGAACGTAGTTTCACAAATAACCAAACTGGAAAATTAAAAAATCTCATTTCTTTATGAATATTGGAGTTGGGGTCTTACCACTAAGTTAAGGGGTAAAATAAATAGTCATTCATAAGCAGACCTTCAGGTGTCCTGTAGCATACATGGATCGCTATTGTAAACCTACAGAGAGAGACTCTTGGGGGATTTACATGGCAGTGAAATTCACATCCAGACATTTAAAATGGGAGAGATTCAAGTCTGTAGAGCCTCCCAACGTTCTTCTCTCTTCCACCAATGAAACTATATTTGTACTCCTCACTGATGTAATTGGAGTGATGGGAAGGACCATGTACCATGAAAGTTTTGGTTCACACTTCCTTCTGCAGCTTACCTTGATGGGTAATAATGAAAAGATGTTCATCATGGATCTTATTTCCTCTCTTTTCACTCTGAAGTTCTTGGGCATCCAAAACTTTTTCCAGCTTTGACAAAAAGATCATGAGAATCATTTTGCTATCCCACAACACACTCATGGTCAAATTTGAAAAGACACAACAATGAAAAGCATGTAAGTATTTTCAAAATCCAACTGGTCTTTAGGAATTGAACCTACTTTTCTCTGCATTGACCATGCTCGAACAATGGTCTCTTCATCAAATGGAATTGAACTATATTTTGTTTTTAAATGTAAATAGCACAAATATGTCTTTGCCATTTTTTTTTCATTCTTCCTAACAATGCTCATTATGGTGGAACACCATTAGGAAACCCATTAATTGACCTGTTCAGATATATCACATGATAAAAGCTTGAGAATTTGATGTACTTTATTCCTGTCCCCTGATTCCAGCTTAATAAAGGAGTTTCACAGTTATTCTAACTGAGCCTGGGAATACTGCAAGTAAGCTTATAAAATAATCAACCTGCTCTTCCAAGGAAAATAATGGAGAAAATCATTTACAGAAATGTTTCTTTATCTGTCAAGTCACAATTAAGCACCCACTTTGGTCCAGGTGCTGTGCTAGGTGCTAAGGAGACAAGGACAAAAATAAGAAGTCCCTGTCTCTATCCTGAAGGGAATAGGAAAGGAGAATGATGGATGTTAGAGCATCCATAGGTGAGGAAACAGAAACCCAAGCTCACTTACTCCTCATCTATTACTTTCGTACTGTGGCAGAATCTAACATGTAAGATCATGAGAGTGAGAGTTGGAAAGCACCTCACAGAGACTATTTAATCTAATCCCTCACTCTAGATTTGAAGAGATAGAGGTGCAGACAGGTGATGGAATTTGTCATGGTCACACTGGTAGTTAGTCATAGCTAGTTAGTAGTTACACTGGCAGAGTCAGAATTTTTACCAGGGTCTCCTGACCAAATCCAGTATTCTTATCATTTGCTACCCTACCTGCTTCTTATTTTCCCAATGCTTACCAGATGCTTAATCTCATTACTTGAAAACCAAAGAGTTTTGAGAAGATTGAATCTTCAAGGTTAGTGAATAGTTTCACTATCCTTGCCTTTAGGCAGAAAATCTCAAAGAAGAACTGGTTTCTGTGAACTGGACAGGGATTTATTGACAAAACCATGTTTGCATAAATTGGGCAATACTTACTCCCTTTTACTTTAGCAATCTGTCTATTTATAATTTTAAACATTTCTGTGATGTATCAATACAGTGAGCTTTGCTGTTGCATGACTGTAATTTTCCATTTCTATGGCATCCCAGACTTGTATAAGGTGGGTGTATGTACATCTCTGCCTGAAAGATGCCTAGTTCTCACTGACTACCAATAGGTCAATTACTTCATGCTATTAGATTGCTGCCTTGTATTTCCATTTGCTTGTCTTGGTCAAGATGCCTCTTAGATGAAGTTTGGGAGTAGATTTCCAAGCTTTGTGTGTGTCTATATGTTTCTGTGGGTGCATGTGTAACTAACACCTGGAGTATAAGAAAGCACACATTTGAAGAAAAGGGGTCTTTCTTGTTGACTTAGCTCTAGAGGCTATTTTATGTCTAGCTGTTTGGTGGCTAAGATAGGAAAGCAAGCAAAAAGCCGTAGCCATGTAGAACACCTAAACTTGGCACTTACATGTAGGTAGTTTCCATAGACAAGTCCTCCTTTACTGGCTTTATTCATTCCAGCCTGTGATTTGTCTTCTTCGTTGTCTTCCAGGTGTAGTTTGTTCCAAGCATATCTAGGAAGTCAATAAATAAGGAAGAAAGAAAAGGAAAGTGGGAGAGAGGGAAGAGAGAAAGTAGAGGACAGGATAGGAAAGAGAAGAGAAATAGAGAGAGATAGAGAAAGATGGAAGAGGAGGAGGAGGAGGAGGAAGAGGAGGAGGAGGAGGAGGAGGAGGAGAAGGAGAAGGAGGAGAAGACCTTTACTAATTTAGCTAGTTAAAGCTCTTAAGATTCATCCCATGACTTTTAAGATTGTAAAGCCAATGCACTCATTAAATGAGAAAATTAAGCCAGAGTTTATTTATTTAGCAGTCTAAGCTTTCCCACTTCATCTTCCTTAACCATTCAAAGTGGTCACAGAGTTGGTGTCACTCTTTACTCACCCAATACCATTTGCTAAAAAGGGACACCCACTCATGGTGACAATTTGGTCTCTTAAAAGCAATTGACTGTTTCAGTTCTGGAATGATATCCTCATTGACCCAGGTGTATCACAGCTATCTTTTATGTACCTTGCTCACCCAGCAGCAGCCAATCACCTCTGTGCCAGTTACTTGTCCACTCCTATCACTTAGAACTGCAGTAGCTGAGCAAGAATCATATGGTTTTAAAGCTGCAACATCCCAATAGCTGATATGAAGTGGATTTGTAGTGTTACTTATTTTTTTAATAGTGAAAAAAATGTTGCATTTAGATTGTATCATTTTACAATGGGCATCAGAAAAGTTCTTTACTTGGATCCAAAGTGTCTTAAGTAAGAGTACACTGAATCTATCAGTGGGAAAACATTATAGTTACTGACTTAAAATGATTGTTCAGGACTAAGAATATATTTAGCATAATGTTAGATATAGATACAGATATAGATAAAGAGAAGTTCATGAAGCTTGTTCTCTCTTGGTTGTCATCTTTAGAATTCTTAGAACTGGTTATTAAGGTAAATACTTAATTCATACCTCCTGTGTAGCCCTCTGTATTCTTTTGGACCCCAGTGAATGTAGCTGCTAACCTTATCTGATCCTAGAAATCAGTTTAAAAAAAATATTGAATGCGGACATCAGAAGGGCCACCCGACTTTGATCCCAAATGACCCCATGATTGGAGCAGGACCAAACAGGTTTCCTGTTGCAGCTCCTGGAGCCTGAGCCTGCTGGTCTGACCAGATGTCATCCCTTCCTCCCAGCATCTCTCTATGGACTTTCAGTTATTACTGTAAAACAACTTACTTAACAGCTCGAGGCTGTGCCTCCCATAAGCCTCCCTCCCAGTAAAAATGTGTTTAAACCTACCCCTCCTCTGCCACTTCTGGGTACTCCCAGTACTTCGGTGCTACTTGGTAGCCCTGGATTGCAATTCCCTTGCCTCAGTTAAACGACCATTGTTTTTTATGTTTTGGCAGTCTTCTTTATTTTAGGTTAACAGCCCCTTCCAGCTAGAAGTTGAAGTTCAACTCCAAACAAATTTTAATCCCACCTTTGGGGTTAAAATGCAGTTTTACTTATTGATAGGACAACATCATACAGGTGGAATTCTTGAGACAATTCAGCTCCCAAAGGTGGTTTGGTTGAATTTCCCAGGTAATAGAAGTCAAGGAACCTGAGTGACAATTACTGAGGTCAGTTTCCTCTTCTGTTAAAAAAAAAAAAAGGCGTGGGGTGGGGTGGTGATGATTTGTAATTAAGGTTCTATGATTCTATTTTTGTTGTTGTTCCGTCTTTTCCAACTCTTCGTGACCCCATATGGGGTTTTCTTGGCCAAAATACTGGAGTGGTTTGCCATTTCTTCTCCAGCTCATTTTACAGATGAAGAAATGAGGCAGACAGGGTTAAATGACTAGCCCAGGGTCACACAACTAATAAGTGTCTGAGACCAGATTTGAACTCCCATCTTCCTGACTGTAGGCCTGGCACTCTATATACACTGTGCCCCCTAGTTGTACACTATATTGCAGTGGTATTTTTAATGGGCTGGTAATAATGGCTGACATTTTTACAGTGCTTTAAGCGCATAAACATTTGCATGGATTTGTTACTTCCTCATCATTGCTGTGTATTATCATTTCCATTTTTCATATGAGGAAATTTAGGCTTAGTATGTTGTTCCTAGTCAGTCACTTAATGTCAGAATAGGTTTCAAATCTGAATCTCTCCTAACTCCAAAGTCTAGCACTTTTTCTACCATGTAATGCTTTGTAGGCATGGGAATATGTATATTCTGTCTGCGTAGGTGTATATAACCAGGAATATGGTAATCTTATGCTGCAATGGAGGTGACAGCCATGACCAAAGATCTTTTCCTTTGTTTTAGTTTTGTTTTACTAGGTATTCTCCTATACAACATAACACATCCAGTTATCCTGGGAGAGGGCACTCTCCAGTTTAAAAGCTGAGAATGATTAATAGGATCTTTTCTTTCTATTTGGTTGGTCCACTAGGTATGTGTTGACAAAGAATGATGCTAAGTAATTTAATTTAGTCTTTTTTTAAGAGCCTGTGCTTTGAGAAGAGGAGGCAGCTATGTGATTTGTTGGGTAGAGTGCTAGGGCTGCCATCAGGAAGACCGGAGATCAAATATGGCCTCAGGCATTTACAAGCTCTGTAACCTTGGGAAAGTGATTTAACCTCTGTTTGCCTTAAACCAGGAGTGGGGAACCTGTGGCCTTAAAGCCACATGTGGTCTTCCAGATCTGTAAGTGTGGCTTTTTGTCTGAATCCAAATTTTATAGAACAAATCCTTTTATTTTTATTATATATTTTATTAATATATTTTTGTTTATCTTTTAAATTTTTATTTTTATTTTATTTTTAAAATGAACATATTTAAAATACCAGAGGAGACAGCTAGGTGGAACAGTAAATAGAGCACCAGTCCTGAAGTCAGGAGGATCTGAGTTCAAATCTGGCCTCAGACACTTGACACTTACTAGCTGTGTGACCCTGGGCAAGTTACTCAACCCTATTGCCTAGCAATAAATAAATAAATAGATAGATAGATAGATAGATAGATAGATAGATAGATAAATAAAATACCAGAGAATAAAATAAGTTTAAATGAAATAATCCTCCCAGATTGACCAGCACAGTTAGAACATTAGTAAGCCATAAGGGCTAAATTGATGGCTGCTGTACTCATTATTTAGTTCTAACTTCCCCCACCTGATTGGCACCACTACCTCACAAGGTTGATTGGCAAGAGTTTATGGGGGTTGAGTACACCAGTCTGTCATCAGCTTTTGACAATGGTGCACTGTGTTTCTGTTTGAAGTGGAATTTGTAAATAGTTGCACAGTTCTACAGTATTTTTTAATTCTGTCTGCTTAACAATCCATCATGTCAAAGAAAACCAACAGAACACTGAAAAAAGAAAACAGACTTATTAATGAGGATTGGGAATTGCAATATTGTTTTCTTTCTGCTAAAGATAAGATGATTTGCTTGCTTTGCGATACTGCAATAGCAACATTAAAGAAATTCAATACTCATCAGCATTATAACACTCATAAGGACCACAAACATTTTAAATTAGAGGGAGAGGCGCTGAAGATTGTATTGCAGAAATTAAAAGATGAAAAACAAAAACAAAGACAATTCTTTCAAGCACTCATAAGACCTGGAAATAATGTCACTGAAGCAACTTATAAAGTAGCTTACATACTCAGGAAAAAAAGAGAAGCTATTCAATGATGTAGAAATTGTGAAAAAAAAATGCATTGTCAAAGTTGTGGGATTCTTAGACATTGATAACTTTTCAAAGTACAAACAACTGCCTCTTTCAAGGAGAACCATAACTGATCGGCAGCATGAACTAGCCTTCAACTTAACAGAATAACTTCAAAAGGAAAACATGTATATTATTCAATTGCTTTCGATGAATCAACTGATACTACTGACTTGGCTCAGGTTTTATACTTCATTTGGGTCATAACAGAAGATTTTCTTTGCTACAGAGAGTTACTTGCTTTGGGCACTATTGTGAACAGAACATGGGGAATAGATATCTTCAACAACTTTCAAAATAAATGTTGTAAAGTTGGACTGAATTTGGTGAATTTAGTGAGTGGATATACAGACGGTGCACCTTCCATGACAGGAAAACTTGAAGAGTTTATCACACAGATTAAAAAAAAAAAGCATTAACAGATCCAGATGCTCCCATTTCTTTTCAGTGTGTCTTACATCAGCAAAATCTCTATGCTAAAGCTACTATTTTAAGTGACACTTTTCAACAAGTTTAAGTATTGTTAATTATATCTGTGCAAATGCTATATGGCATTGTCAGTTTCGTAACATACTAAAGTTGAACAATGAGGTATTCAGTGTGGATTTGCCGTATCATTCTAAAGTGCATTGGCTGTCACTGGGACAAGTGTTAGCCAAAATTTTTCTCTCTGTGAGAACAGATAGTTAAATTTTATGAAGAACAGAATCAACAATGTGAATTATTGAAAGAAGATTTCTATAGGAATGTTATATTTCTGTGTGATATCATGTCAAATCAAAATGACTTGAATATTTCTTTGCAAGGTAAAACTAAGTCTATATATGATATGTGACAAAAAAAAAATCCAAGCATTTCGAAAACAGCTATCTTGTTTCAAAACACTTCTTCAAAAGGAAATTTCAGATGAACATTTTCCCCAGTTGGCAAAGGTCATTGATGAGCAGAATGATATATAAGAATCATTTGAAGAATACATAACTGCTATAGACCAGTTAATTGGAGAATACAATGAAAGGTGCACTGACTTTGAGAATCATGACATCACACTCAAATTAGCATTTCAGCCTCCCTGGTTGATATCACCAAGGCACCTAGAAAAATTAACTGAGCTCTCAGTAGATGACATTTTGAAGTGATTGTTTGATGCTAAGAAAGATTCAATCGAAATATAGAAAAATGTAGTAGAACAGCCATGCCTTCGGTAACGTGTGAAAAATGCTTTCTCATTTTCCAAACACTTATTGCTCTGAAGCTACATTCTCCTACCTGACCCAAATCAATACTCCCTTAAGGTCACAAATGACTGATACCCATCTAGAGGATCAACCAAAACTGTGGACCTCCATGCTGCAACCAAATATTCAAATGCTTTCCAACAAAAAGCAGACACAAAAAGTCATTAAAAAGTTAGCTAACTTTAAAATTAACAAATAGTTTTCATTTTTTGAAGTTATTAAGTACACAGCAGCTAGATTTTTACAAAATAATGTACATTTTAAAATATATCTAATTAAAGTTTCTTGAATGTGACCTTATTCGATTACAGCTAAATATTAATGTGGACTTCCACCATGAAAAGGTTCCCCACCCCTGCCTTAATCCACTGGAGAAGGAAATGGCAAACCACTCCAGTCTCTTTGCCAAGAAAATCCTATGGTTATGGAGAACAGAAGAATTCATGACCAAACAGGAGATAGAGAACATTACGAAAAGCAAAATGGATAATTTTGATTACATTAAATTGAAAAGTT